AAATGATTTATCTGATTGGAAATTGGGGAAAAATATGCAAAGGACTCTTGGTCTCTTTTCGTCCTTTTTTCTCTCACAGGCTAGAAAACATGGGTGTTCTGCTGTTCTTTCATGCTATAAGTCTTACCTGGACAACTACCCTCATCTCCCTCCCTAATTGAGACGCTCACCCTAGGCCTGAGAGGATAACTCAGCCCAATTTGGGGATCCATCTAGTAGACCCACTTAGCTCCCACATGAAACAAAATGTGCCAGTACTATTGTATATGTACCAAAGGTGATAATTTGGTCGATCTGTGATCCCTTAGTATAACTGACTAAATTTTAAAACCCTATTGGAAACACAAATTTCCTTTTCCAGAATTCCCATACTGATGTTTATTGAGTATTTACTATTGACAGACAGGTAGTAAGTAATTGTAATTTATTTATTCATCAAAACATTCCTGCAGTTACTAGCACTAATAGTAGCAATGGTAAGGCTTATAAATGAAATGTGAAATCAACTCAGCACAGTGCTTTGTAGTATATGCTTAATAAACATCTGTTGCATTTATCAACACCTACACTAACTCTGGTAGCGTAGTGGTTACAAATCGGGCTGCGAACCTTAAGGCCAGCAGTTCGAAACTACCATCCGCTCCGCGGGAGAAAGATGAGGCGTTCTGCTCCTGTAAAGATTTACAGCCTCGGAAACCCTGTACAGGGTCGCTATGGGTCGGAACCGACTCGACGGCACTTAGCAACAACAACAACAACACACTAACTTGAGGAGTCCTGGCGTGGTGTTCTGGGTTAATGCGCCAGACTCTAAAGCCATTTGAACTGCAAGGTCGGCGGTTCAAGCTCACCAGCTGTCCCCTGGAAACCCTATACAGGGTCACTATGGGTGGGAATCGACTTGACGGCACTTGACAACAAAACAACAACATACTAACTGGAAGTAATTGATTAAGCAACTACTCTCACTTCTCATACCTCCTCTTTTATTCAGCCCACGAGACGTTTACAATCTAACAGGGAACACAGTCTACTGGACTAAGGTTTGGTCTTACTTAGCTTCATAATTCCAACAGCTACAAAAAAGATCTTGCTCAGAGCAGGAATGTTATAACATGTATTGAATTTATATTTAATAGAGCAAATATACAAGTCAGTAGAGACAGTGTTTATCCCAGCACTAAATTCTAAGAGAAACCACTTCAATTGATATTTCCACAATGGACATCTAATGACCACATAAATACTGTTTTTAGCAGTGACATGATAGGTGATTCTGAATGGATGTTATGCCTTCTTATTACTTAGATGTGATCTAAGCCAAAGATGGAAAATGAAATCACAGCTCAGAAAAGAGCTCTGCTGGATACTATTTCGAGTATGCTGTTTTTCAGTAATTTCACTTGATACAGGAAAACAGTTTAGAATAATCTTTGGAGTAACTGGTCAAAATTCTATTCATTCATTCATTCATTCATTCAATAATTCTATAACTATTCAGAGAAAAAGTGAGAACATAAATGAATTAATGTTGTTGTGTTAAGTGCTCAGTTGGTTCCTCTTCATAGCAACCCTGCTCAGGTTGCACCATCCTCACAATTGTTGTTAGGTCTGAACCCATTGTTGCTGCCATTTTGTCAATCCATCTAATTGGGGCAGGGGTGTCTTTCTTTTTCAAGGACACTCCACTTAATCAAATATGATACCCTTCTCCAGGGCCTGATCCCTCTTAACAACATGCACAAAGAATGAGAGACAAAGTTTCAGCATCCTCAATTTTAAGAAGCTTTCTGGTTGTAGTTCATCCTAGACAGATGTGTTTGTTCTTCTGGTAGTTGATGGTACGTTCAATATTCTTTTCCAACACCATAATTCAAATGTATCGATCCTTCTCTGGTCTTCCTTATTAATTGTCCAGTTTGCACATGCATATGAGGTAATTCAAAGTACCCTAGCTTAGATCAGGTGCACCTTAGTTTTCAAACTGACATCTTTATTATTTAACACTTTAAAAAGGTCTTTTGTAGCAGAATTTCCTAACGAAATATGTTATTTGATTTCTTCAGTGCTGCTTGCAACAGCATTAACTGATCTAAGAAAAATGAAATCTTTGACAAGTTTCATCTTTTCTCCATTTATCATGATGTTTTTTATAGGTCCCATTGTGAAGATTCTTGGTTACTTTACATTGAGATGCAACACATACCGGACTGGAGTCATTGATCTTCATCAGTAAGAACTTTAGTTCTCTTCTCTTCCAGCAAGCTTGTGTCACCTGCATATCACAGGGTGTCAATGAGCCTTCCTCCAATCCTCATGCTTATTGTTGTTGTTAAGTGCCATTGAGTTGGTCCCGACACATAGAGACCCTGTATCATGTTTCGAAGGAGCAGTTGGTGAGCTTGAACTGCCAACCTTGCAGTTAAAACATTTTTGCAATCTGGTGCATTATCCCACAGTGCTACAGCAGGACTCCTATCCTCATGCTACATTCTTCTTAATACAATCCAGCTTCTCCAATTATTTGCTCAGCATACAGCTCAAATATATATGTTGAAAGAATACAACCATGATATACACCTTTCCTGATTTAAAACCATTCAGTATCCCATTGTTTTGTTCAAATGGCTGCCTCTTCGTCTATGTACAGAATCTTCATGAGCACAAGTAAGTGTTCTGGAATACCCATTTTTCACAATGTTGTCTATAGTTTGCTATGATCTACACAGTTGAATGCCTTTGCATAGTCCATAAAGAACAAGTAAACATCTTTCTGGTATTCTCTGCTTTTAGCCCAGATCCACCTGAAGTCACCAATGACATCTCAAGTTCCACATCCTCTTCTGAATGCGGCTTGAATTGCTAGCAGCTTCCTGTTGATATATCACTGAAACAATTTTTTAAATTAGATTCCTCCAATCCTGATGCCACGTTGTGATAGAGCCATATTATCTCAGGTTTGGGATGTTACTGTGAAGAACTGACAACTAAGCTGAAAAACACAGACCGAATAGGAGAAATCCTAAAGGATAGGGGAGGGCTGAGTTGTAGCAACAGAAAACTGAATGGAGGCAAAAAAAAAAAAAAATCAGAGTTTTAAGAAGTTCTAATGTCTGAAGGCCTAAAAGAAAAGAAAGTCCAAGTGGCTGGAGTAAAGTTGGCAAAGAGAAGCTGGCCTAGGGCTAAATAATGTAGGTCCATATTAAAGCCACAACTTTGTCCTAAAGATAATAGGGATCATAGAAATGCATTAAATCTGAGATATCATAATCGGCTTTGCATTTCTATACTATAATTCTAGTTCTTGAAGAATATCAGCACTTTGCACAGAATGGAAGCTACCACTAAGAGTAGAAGCAGAGAGACCAATTAGAAAACTATTGTTGTAATCCATCCAAGGAAGAGACAAATTTAATTGACCTAGGATAAAGGAGCTCTGTTAGCATAGTGGTTACGAATCGGGCTGTGAACCATAAGGGCAGCAGTTCGAAACTACCAGCTGTTCCGCAAGAGAAAGATGAGGCATTCTGCTCCCGTAAAGATTTACAGCTGCGGAAACCCTGTATAGGGTCGCTATGAGTCTGAACCGACTCCACAGCACATAACCAACCAACCAACAGGATAATGACAGTGGTGATTGTTGTTGTTGTCATGTGCCTCATCTTTCTCCCACGGAACAGCTGGTAGTTTCGAACTGAAGACCAGTGAGATTAGCAGCCTGATTCGTAAGCACTATGCTACCAGAGTTATTAAGAGGCTTTACATTCATTTGAGATAAAATTAAAGTTTTGAAGCAACAAGGTGAGAAAGAGGGAAATGATGGCTTCCAGGTCTCCAAGTTGAGTCATTTGAGTGGAAGGTGGTACCACTGTGGCCAGAGGGATACTATGGTAACTTGAGTTTGGGACATGCTCATGGCCTTTCAGGTGAAAATGTCTAATAGGAGCAGTAGAGGTCAGTCGTGGTAATAAATAACGTTTCACTTACACACAGCCATTCTTTTGATAGGAACTGAGTAGTACTAGCTTTTTCAAACTAGAGCTCTATCTAGTGCATTCAGGACTAATTGCATTATTGATTGAAGCAAAAGTCATATGCTTTTCACACCAGACAGTATAAAGAGCTGAATTCCTTTTACAGCAATCACAGAACCTGAAATGTATTTCTGACCAGACTAAAATCCCTAAAACATTGTTTCTACCCAAAGAACCATATGATATCACATGGATGGAAATAGTTTAAACTCAGGCATTTAAGATTATATGACAAAGAGTGGAAGAACAAGACACGTATTACCAACTAATCATTTTGACTGGAAGTGGCAAAGCTTATGGTCAATAGTAAGGTGAAGTCCTTTTAAGACAATGACACTGACCTTTAAAGATTATGTTACTTTCCTACTTGATTGTATGAGATATTCTCCAGCAATAACCAAGGGATGTATACAATATTCTTCAGCAATACCCAAGGGATGACAGTAACTATGTTTGAAGATTAATTCCAAACACCACAAAATGTCAGTTTAGGGATTATTTGAAAACCTATAGGATGGTTAAGGAGCTCTGGTAATGTAGTGGTTACGAATAGGCTTGTGAACTATAAGGTCAGCAGTTTGAAACTACAAGCCATTCTGCAGGAGAAAGATGAGGCGTTCTGCTCCTGTAAAGGTTTACAGCCTCCGAAACCCTGTACAGGGTTGCTATGAGTCGGAACCAACTCCACGGCACACAGCCACCAGCCACCATAGGATGGTTATATGGTCCAGATGCCCTCCTGCAACCTTTTCAATGCATATATAAGGCATGTGATAGTAATGATAATATAAAATGTACAACTGTAAATTAAAACTTGGCTGTAAACTTGCTCAAATGTCTTTTATAACACAATATATAATGCTCATTAGTTAAATACCTGGTACCTAATGGTAGAAAATAACTATCAGCAAATTGATATTACATTTAGAAGTAAATGTGATGATGCTTGTTTTAGTTCATACTGACCTTTTAACTGCCTCATTTTGTGTTTCATTGTATCTAGATCAGCCATGATGTTGTCCTTTCTGACCCAGTTCTGCTTCTCTAATTTTTCTGTTTTCTGCAAATCTGGAATAATAGAAATGTAAGATATTTATCTTTTCTATCAATAGTAATTTATCGTACAAGCCAATAATTTATAAAGAACTTTGTGCTCCAAGAAATAGATTCAATTAGAAACAAGTAATTAAAAGGTAAGGGTCATTAAAAGAAACCTTGTTTAAAAGACGACAGGGCTTGAGGCATTTCTTATGAATAGATGGGGGGAGGGGAGAACAATGCTGTTTTATTATATAGATTTACCATATGCAATGCTCATATTTCATTTTCCACTTCCATAAACTATTTGGAGGTGATGAAAGCCTGGCTTGGAACCATTCATTTTTTAAACATCCACCTACTGCCTAAAGGGTGCAATTCTTAAAAATGAAAATGTGCAGACAGGTCGTCCTCAGTGTGAATTAAACTCATCTGTTATTTTCTAATGTGTACAATTATTCTCAATCTTACAGACCAAGAATCTTTTTATCAACTAAATTAGACGTTTTTCCATGCAGAATACTTCATTTCAGTAAGAAAAAAACAACAAAAGGCAATTATACAAATATGGGATATACAGATATCCTTGTGTGCATATTAATTAATGAACGTACTCTTCTTTGAATAAATATATTATTACATGACATGATACACATTTTATTCATTTTCATAAAGTGACAGTATTTATTTTTCTCCCTCTTCATATACTTACTTGAAAGACAGCAAAAACAAAATGCCTTACCATTCAGAGGCAGAAACTGTTCACCACAAGATACCCAGATGGCAATAGGATCTCTGAGGACAAGTTCAAGCAAAGACTCATCTATACCATTCAAACTATCAGATGTCACAGACTTTGAAAATGAGTTGTTTTTCATTTTTGTGCTTGGATTTTCTGGAAACCAAATGATACATTTATCAGAATAATAAATAAATTTGCTTAGTGAATTAATTTCTTTATTCAGAATATTTTATTCTTCATTAAAAATTTGATTTAGACATAAAATACCCACACCAGATGCTAACACATACATTCAGCCAGAAAGTTCATATGCAACTAAAGAAGTTAAAACAATCGGATTGTGAGTTTATTATTTTCTTATACCTCTCTTGACTCTGAAAGAAATTTGATGTCACTTACCAAAAAGATCTACTCTAAGAAGGGATGAAATTAAGAGATAAGATCACCAGGTGAAACTGAGGCGGGAAAGAGGATAGACTCAAGTCACAGATATTACTCAAGTCTCAATGTCCTCATCTTTTAAATACATATTAATAATGTATCACATCCTGCTATGGAGAAGATTAAATGTGGGGGTCAAAAGTGAAGTATTTCAGAGAAGAAGAGAAGAAAGCACAATTACAAGATTGACACAGTCCAAATAAAGGGGCAAATTTCTAAGACAATGCAGGTCCTGAACATCCTCATACAGGAGTTATTTGTGATACAGTTAACAGTATCCTGAAATACATAGAAATGAACAATTCTTGAGAATTTACTATGTACTGGGTATTTTCTCAAACCAATACTCTGAAGTAGGTCCTTCGACCAGTCCGCTTTTATAGGTAAGGTAACTGAGGATAGGTGTGGCAGAGCTAGCCTCCAGACACTGTGCTATTATACATGGTTTCCACAGTAAGCATGATTGTTGCTGTTAACTACCATTGAGTTGGTTCTGACTCACAGAGATCCTGTATACTGTATAGGAGCAACTGCTGGGTTTGAACTGCTGACCTTGTGATTCATAGTCCAGTGCTGATCCTACAGCGCCACACAAGAAGTCATGATATTATGTTTCAAATAGCTATTTCTTTAAAGTTTCTTAACACAAACTGATGGCATAATGCCGAGTCTTCTAATTAACCTCTACAATAACTTTGAGAATATAGAGGAAAAGAGGCGGCTGTGCCATTTTGATAATGTTGTATGAATAACATTACTTTCAAACAGGTTTTAAATAAGAATTGGAGAACAGAGAGTTTGAGTTTATAATTTCCCAGAAACTAGAGATCACAGATTTTATGATGTTTACTACACTGCGGATGTCTGATGGATCTTGGCTGCAAGCAGAGAATACCAGAAGGATGTTTACCTATGCTTTATTGACTATG